AATGATATAGTCAAATGTCTTGGTCAATCAACAGAAGGGTCGTTATTTGTGGATGACTTCTTGATCTGTTACAGATCTAAGAACATGCACACGATAGAACGACAACTTCAACAGAGTTTAAACAAACTACAAAATTGGGCAGACGAAAACGGCTTCAAATTCTCTAAATCCAAAACTGTGTGCATGCATTTCTGTCAAAAACGAAAAGCACACAATGACCCAAATCTAACACTCGATGGCACTAGAATTCCTGTTGTTGAACAGACTAAATTTCTCGGCCTCATTTTTGATTCGAAACTCTCTTTCATACCACATATAAAGTATCTGAAGGATAAGTGTTCCAAGGCGTTAAACATTATACGAGTCCTTTCTCATACTGATTGGGGAGCGGATCGTGAAATGCTTTTGCGCCTATACAGATCACTTATTCGAACAAAACTGGATTATGGTTCTATGGTATACGGGTCAGCGCGCAGTTCGTACCTTCAGATGCTAGATCCAATCCATAACCAAGGGCTACGTCTTGCCCTGGGAGCTTTTCGAACAACACCTGTAAAAAGCCTGTACGTGGAAGCAAATGAACCATCCCTTTATGACAGAAGAATAAAACTTTCATTACAATTTGCAACTCAATTAAAATCAAACCCTAAAAATCCTGCTTTCAACCAAGTATTCAACCCCAAATACCAAAACATATTTACGCAAAACCAAAAACTTCTGCCAACATTTGGTATCCGAATTTTGAATTTCCTGCAAGAACTCAACATAAAATTGACGGACATAGCTGAATTTAACATATCTGATGTTCCTCCGTGGACCATTCAAACCCCCGATTTTAACTTTACATTACATGAGCGAGGGAAATCAAGTGTTATGCCCGAAGAACACAAATCCTCCTTTCGGGAATGCATTTCGAATTACCCTTCTCATACACAACTTTACACCGATGGCTCCAAAGAAGGTGAGAAAGTGGCAGCAGCCTGCTGTACTGCCAATACTTGCACTTCAGTCCGACTACCAGACGGCGCCTCCATCTTTTCTGCTGAAGCATGCGCCATTGGTTTGGCCCTCGACCATATCGATGAACACCGCATTAAAAAGGCAATTATTTGTTCAGACTCTCTATCTGTCCTACAGAGTTTACAGTTACGAGATCCTAAAAACACAATCGTACAAAACCTTGCTCATCGAATATCTCGTATATTAAAAAAGTCTAAAATAACTTTACTATGGATTCCGAGCCATGTCGGAATAAAAGGCAACGAATTTGCTGACAGGGAAGCAAAAAATGCATTGAATCTCGAACAAACAAATATCAAACTACCATACACAGATTTTAAACCTACTATTCGTACAGCCATTCAAAATGAATGGCAGAAACGCTGGTCTCTGGAGACCAACAACAAACTTTTTAAGATACAACCGAAACTTAAAACATCTATTCCCAGTCGGAAAGATCGTAGAGAGGAAGTTGTCCTCGCTCGGCTCCGCACTGGGCACACATATCCTACTCATTCGTACCTTTTAAAACGAGAAGATATACCTTCATGCCACGCATGTGACACTCCATTTACAGTGGAGCATTTTTTAATAGAATGTTCCGATTTTAAACACATTCGTGATAACTACTTCCGAGTCCCGGATATGAAAACACTTTTCAGTTCCGTGGATTCGAAGGCATTATTTAACTATTTGAAAGACATCGGTCTATTTTATAGACTCTGATGTCTTTTAACCCACCTTATCCTTTTTGACGTTATATATATATCGCATATTCCATATCATCTATTCGTTATCTCTTTTATTATTTTAACCCCCTTTTATTATTTTTAATTATCTACACATACAATGCGAATACTTTTAAAATGAACCATTTTATCTGATTTTATCTTCGCTATTCACATGTTTGTTAAAAAAGTAAAGTGAATAAATAAATCACCATGGCCCTAAATGACCACAGCCGTCGATGGGCCGTTAAACATAAACAAACAAACAAACAAAGCTCAGAGGATTTTGACCAAATTTGGTCTGGAGCATCATTGGCCAAAGGGTTCTCAGTTTTGTATAAACAGAGGGTATGGTCCCCCTGGGGGCGGGCAGACAGACAGGGCCAAATAGGGGGAAAATAGGTAAATCTTTAAAAATCTTCTTCTTTTCAACCAATAGAAGGATTTTGACCCAATTTGTCCTAGAGCATCTTTGGACAAAGGAGCCAAAAGTTTGTATAAACGGAGGGTGTGGCCCCTCTGGGGGCGGAGGGACGGAGCCCAATAGGGGAAAATAGAGGATTTTTTTTCTCCTACTATACAAGTGAAGGGATTTAAACTAAATGCAATCTGAAGCATGATTAGGGACAAAAGAATCAATTTTGTATAAACTGAGGTGTGTGGGCCCCCTTATAGGGGCAGATGGGTTGGGCTCATTAGGGGAAATGGAGGAAAACATGAAAGATCCTTCTCCTTTTGTACCGATGAAGGGATTTTGACCAAATTTGGTCTGGAGCATCATTAGCCAAAGGGTTCTCAGTTTTGTATAAACGGAGGGTATGGTATTCCTGGGGGCAGAGAGGCGGGGCCAAATAGGGGGAAAATAGGAAAATCTTTAAAAATCTTCTTCTTCCTAACCAATGAAAAGATTTTGACCCAATTTGTCCTAGAGCATCTTTTGACAAAGCAGACTCAAGTTTGTAAAAACGGAGGGTGTGGTCCCGCCCCTACGCCCCCAGAGGGCCGGAAATAGAGGATTTTTTTTCTCCTACTATACAAGTGAAGGGATGTAAACCAAATGCAATCTGAAGCATGATTAGGGACAAAAGAATCAATTGTGTATAAACTGAGGTGTGTGGGCCCCCTTATAGGGGCAGATGGGTGGGGCCCATTAGGGGAAATAGAGGAAAACATCAAAGATCCTTCTCCTTTTGTACCGATGAAGGGATTTTGACCAAATTTGGTCTGGAGCATCATTGGCCAAAGGGTTCTCAATTTTGTATAAACGAAGGGTATGGTCTCCCTGGGGGCAGAAGGGCAAGGCCAAATAGGGGGAAAATAGGTAAATCTTTAAAAATCTTCTTCTTCTCAATCAATAGAAGGATTTTGACCAAATTTGTTCTTGAGTATCTTTGGACAAAGGAGCCTCAAGTTTGTATAAACGGAGGGTGTGGCCCCTCTGGGAGCATAGGGGCGGAGCCCAAAAGTGGAAATAGAGGAAATTTTTTCTCCTACTATACAAGTGAAGGCATTTAAACCAATTTACATGCAGTCTGAAGCATGATTAGGGACAAAAGAATCAATTTTGTTTAAACTGAGGTGTATGAACCCCCTTCTTTCGGGCAGATGAGTGGGGCCCATTAGGGGGGAAAATAGAGGAAAACATTAAAGATCCTTCTCCTTCTGTACCGTTGAAGGGATTTTAACCTAACTTGTTCTAGAGAATCTTTGAGCAAAGGGAATTGAATATTCATAAATGGAAGATGGGGAAATAGAGGAAAATTGGTACACAACTCATTTTCTTGTTGTCTTTCCCACCAAAACAGATTTATATGTAGTTCTTCTTGCAACTTTGTTTCTTGTACTCCTTTGATAAACCTGAATGGTACTCAGCAAGTTTTAAATTGAAAAATAAAATACCAGGTGAGCTATTAAGGCCCCTGGGCCTCTTGATATTTCAGGGAACTGTCTCCGTTCACAGTGTGAATGATTAATAAATAAACTGTCATCTGTGTATATACATATGTCTATGGGTTCTATGTAATTCACACCAGAAGAAATCTACACAAATTGTTGTGTGACACCAACATCTCTGAATATAATACAGATTAAGTAAGGGCTGATAGCCTGCCTAAGTTTGGCAAAGGTGAGCTTAAAACATCACTGTGTAGCTATAATGTACAAAACAATAGAATGTGTTACATTATGATTGATGTACCTATAATTAAATAACCCTACCTCATTTTCCTTGTCAGCAGTGGTGATCTGGCCGGTCAGATTGAAGATAATACATTTCACAACTGTGTTTCCAGCAATAAGTTCCATGTAAGTCACTTCAAATCCTCTAACATCTTTATAACTACCTGAACATTCAAAACAATCTATCAAAAGGAGAGAAAATTCACTATGAAAATTAGATGTAACTCATTTAAAGATATCATAAAGTCCATTGTAATTGTCAAACATGCTTGTTTATAGCGAAATTCAGTATTTAAACAAAAGTTAAACAGACCAAAAGTGATGCAGTTGAAAATTGAGTCCTATCCTCAAAATGAGATAAAATTGAGCTCAAGTAAAGTTTCTACTTTGAAGTATATGGTAAATTAAATTAAGCTCAATTAAAGTTTCTACTTTGAAGTATATGGTAAATTAAATTAAGCTCAATTAAAACTGACAACCTGAGGAAGATGACTAGTTTTTTGCTAAATATACATGTATTGGTGTTAAAAATTGTAAGCTTGTAAATTGATTGTATTTCCGTAATAAAACTGCAGTAAGACCAGCTTCAAACATTTATGAATGTATAATTTGAAGATTGAATAAAGGGAAATAACTCTTGCAGGTCTAATCACCACATAAGACACAGTTAGTGTAAGACATGTACATCTCTAGACTGCAGCAGCAGCTCACAGCTACTGACAACTGGTGGGCTAAGAATTCACCACTTGTGTGAAACAGGAAACCAACTAAAAACAAGAGACTGGTGGGGCCCGAACAAGCACCAGAGTATATTAGGAAACACACAATGTAGATGTACCATGTACTTGAATAAAGGTTAGGTCTCAATAAAATGCACTCGTAACTTTCAGAGGAGATCTGTGTCAGTTGAAGCCTAAATTTGTGTAAAGTTATCAAGCCCACACCTCATGGGCCTTTTTTGAAAAAACAATGAAATTGAAATAAGCAAAGTATCATCAACAACAGACTGTTCATTGTAAGTGTAAAACGGATCAGCGGAACGAGACTGGTAATTAAACTCTGACTGAGCTACAGTACATTGTACCTGGTTATTGGAAGTGTCCTGACCCAACTATGCTACAATACAGTAGGACAGGGATGGTCCTTAATGAGTAAAAATCCTAATCCTTATCTTTGAAGGATGATATCATGATTTACTGTTGTTGAAATTCTACCCATACAATTCAGTGGAGATGTTTTTGAAAGTTTTGCATCATCCTCTTTTGGCCCACACCTTAAAACCATGACTTCTCAGAGTGTAAAGATTCTAATTACTAAGTTTCAATCAAATCAGGCTGACTTTTCCGAGAAGTCTAAAATATAATGGTTTACATGTATTACTTAATAACCTTTAGAGGATTCACAATTATCAGGAAGCGACTCACTGACAGCTGACCTTAAAGAAATAGAAGCTAACTAAAGTTTAACAGTGAGACATAGCAACATACTTGTAATAGGTGGTCGAATAGTTAAGTTGAAGGCTGGATACGAAGCATTGAAATAGCCTTCGTAGTACTTGTAACTTATATCCACGTGGAAATCCGACGGCTTCTCAGGGTACTCAAGTCCATCAGTGTACAAGTACGGAAACTCCTTCTTCAGAATTACAGGATCACATGCTGTAAACAAAAGGTATATAGTATCATCAGTGTATAAGTACGGAAACTCCTTCTTCAGAATTACAGGATCACATGCTGTAAACAAAAGGTATATAGTATCATCAGTGTATAAGTACGGAAACTCCTTCTTCAGAATTACAGGATCACATGCTGTAAAAAAAAAGGTATAGTATCATCATCAGTGCATTCTTAACAATACTATCAGGATGTGTCAGCTCAAAGAAAAATACTGTCGAGCATTCTTGGACCTACCGACTCAGGTCCATTTATTTTTACTGCTGTTCCGTAGGTGAAGCATGGAATATTTGACCCTGATCAAATTTGGCAGCTATTATAGATGCAGTTTGAGTACGGCAAAACGATTACTTTCATTTTTACGAACATATTCATTCTTACAGGGTGTAATAAACAAGTAGATCCAGGATTCCTTACAGGGTGTAATAAACAAGTAGATCCAGGATTCCTTACAGGGTGTAATTATAAACAAGTAGATCCAGGATTCCTTACAGGGTGTTAAATAAACAAGTAGATCCAGGATTCCTTACAGGGTGTTAAATAAACAAGTAGATCCAGGATTCCTTACAGGGTTTAATGAACAAGTAGATCCAGGATTCCTTACAGGGTGTAATAAACAAGTAGATCCAGGATTCCTTACAGGGTGTAATTATAAACAAGTAGGTCCAGGATTCCTTACAGGGTGTAATCATAAACAAGTAGATCCAGGATTCCTTACAGAGTGTTAAATAAACAAGTAGATCCAGAATTCCTTACAGGGTGTAATTATAAACAAGTAGATCTAGGATTCCTTACAGGGTGTTAAATAAACAAGCAGATCCAGGATTTCTTACAGGGTGTTAAATAAACAAGTAGATCCAGGATTCCTTACAGGGTGTTTAATAAACAAGCAGATCCAGGATATGGTATATTGTACCCAATTCTTCGAATAGGATATTTAAATCTCAAGTACTATTATATTTCATTTCAATGTAAGCATTCTTTAGCACTCTTGATCAGTGGAGCCATCATATGGTACTTATGGTGATACAGCCTCAGGACATACAGTATGTAAGGAGGCTCCACCCTTTCGCAATTAGCCAGCAGAATTCAATGAACGTTTCACATAATGGTTATGTCACTATGTAGAGATGAGTTTATGAAAATCTAAGCATTCCGATAAACTGGGGATTTTTTTGTAATTAATAAAGAAAAATTGAAATTTTTGTCAAATTCAACACTTTCACATTTTTTGAGCATGTGGCATTATTTAAAACTATTACAACAATAAAATAATGAAAAGAAAGATTGCTAATCAACCCTACAAATATTTTATTTATCATAAAATATCTACAATATGTTACAAATAGCGTTTTTTTTTATTGAAATTGTATGGATAAAAGTTACTAAATACAATCTAAGAGCAAACAGGACACATAGTTTCATACAAAAAGAGTGAAAAATTGAACCAAATACACAAAAAGTGTTCATAATTCATCTATTTTACATTTTATAATATTTTGATCCCGATGAGAGTTGCATGTCTACCTTGAAAAAAATTGAAACTTTTTGCAGAGAGATAGAATTTATACCATGACACTTACTTTATTTACTATACCAAAAACGACGGAAATAAATTAAATTACTATATTTAATTGTCAATTTACCTTCTTTTATGGAACAAAATTACTCTCAATCATGTACACTTTGGACATCATTCCCCACTTACGCATGGTATATTAACATGTCAGGTATATATATGTAACTGTAGACTATCGCATGGTATGCCGTTATTACGTGCACGCACATGCACTTGCATTTTATAGGGATCTTGATATTTTACAAACCACTATTTTCACAGAGTTATTGTAATTGCATTTGTGAACTGATTTATCTGACAGAGCGTAACTCGCTACTCGACAACAAAAGTCGTCGCGACCAAGAGCTTGTGAACTACTGTTAGCACATGCCCATAACAAGATTAAGACTTTCCTGGAAGTCCACTTAGCTATCGCAAAAATAAGCTCAAAGTTAAAGATGATGTTCATGTACCACTTAACATTCCTTGTCATCACTTTAATAGCTGCGGAAATCTTATGCTTTTGAAGAAGATCCACCTCCTGGAGTGATGTCACAGTAAAGAACAGGGATGTTTTTGTAAATAATTAACTGACGCACACATTGATTTCCACAAAATTTGTGGAACTATTGATGCACCTAAATTGATCACAGAAATTTTCATTACATATCTCAGGAAATCTACAAAATTTACAAAATTTTCCCAAGACATCTTAAACTTACATATATTGCTAAAATATGTCATTTTATGCTGAACATGCTTTAAGATTACATTTTTAATGACAGTAATGACTATATATCCAAAATAAAAGGTAAATTTATCTTGACTTTATAATACAATTACTTGTTCAATGGTTATTTAACTCTTATGCCCATCATGTGCTTAAGATATAAAAAAAAAAATGAAAACCAAATTAAGGAGAGGCCATTATATATGTAGGCAGTATTTATGATAATATTAAAGACAAATTTCTGGCATCTTTCCGGCATAGTGGGACAGGCATTCCAAAGAGCAATAATTGTTCATGTGATGATTTCATAAACATGGGTGCAGTAATTTAAGTCTGTAAATCTAGGACAAAACTTTCTACAGACAAGTCAAACAGATGGACATTTATCATGTTCAGCCATGATCCCCCATTTCCCTTTAACTCATCCATGCATGATCACCCCACATATTTAAACTGGACTTGTCCAGTCTATGATTTGGTAAGATTCAAATGCGACTCTAGGGGTGAATTGGTTAAGTAACTGCCAAAACTTTATTATATAAACGTCACAGGTGTCAGGTGTAGGATTGGTCACAGCTGAACCCTCCCTCATTTTGATTAAAATTTACAAATCTCTCTTTGAAATCTCTCATCAGACCAGTGACTAACATAAATTCAAAATATGCATGATCTCTAAGTTACTGAGGGGATGTTTAATAGAAATGACAGGGGGAAATGAAATCAGCAAAAAATATTTCAGATTCATTGGAGATGTAAAATGAGGGAGATCTCCTAGGTTTGAGTTTTAAGAGGTTCGATAGCCATCGATGGGTGTAATAACTTAACTTATTGTTTGAATGATTATCTGAATCTGGGATACATATAATGTAGTATGATAGTCTGTACTTGCTGTTATTAGCAAATATGGGCAGATTATTAGCAAGTTTTGTTGAACCTTTAGGTAAACATGTAATGGTTAAACAAAAGATTTCAGTCACACTTTTAAATTAATTAAGCATAAGGCCTTGAAGAGATGATATATTACAAAGATTCAATGAATGTCAAAAAAAATCTGGACAATGCCTCAGTTTTAAAAACAATTTCTTGTGACTAATTTAGCAGCACTGAATTACAACAGATAAGCTGTTATTTAAGAGCTTTCATTTAAATGGGGAACATGTCAGGCTGCGGAGATTTATATCCGGACTAATAGGAGTACCGAGTATGCACTCATATTATAGTGTCTTTGCCGTTTATCTTTGTTACTTAAATTAACACTTTAAATGACAGCAGACATTTTAAGATTCAGTATTTCCTTAAACACATCAAGACCTGTATCTATAGTATGTATGTAAATCATGTTTGATCTTACTTAAATTTCTGTAACATAAATGGTATTCATTAAACAAGTGTATGAATTGTCTTATTAAGATCCCCACAAACTGACATCCAGCCCAACAAGAGTGATTAATATAAGCTGAAATACCTTGTTTCATAATTGTTGTAAGATAAATACAGTTTATTTATATAAATTAAATAAATATTATGGTTAAATCATGTGATGGTTCTGATATTAAAATTCCACTCATTACTGGATACTTAAGGATCTCAATACCACTGTCAAATACTATAATGATGCAGCGGGAACTGTTTTTTGAAGCATGACTATAGCTTTGATAAATCATTCCTGAAAAGAAAACCTTACCTTGTGGTATTTTATGAACAACAATAAAGACGAAATATTCACAAAATACAATCAACAAGTTTGTTCTGACTGAAGAAAAAATAAGTTGAGGGGGATTCGAACCCTGGGCTTCATATTGTTAATAGTACAATTGCTGTAACTGATTGAGCTACCTAGTCAACAGATGTGTACTAGCCCAAATGCACTATAGTGAAATCAAAACTGAAGTTAAGGGGAGGTTACTGTATGTAGGAAAAACAGCAGTGCAGTGGTACAGGGATCCTTCAAGGATGAGTGTTGTAATAATCAGTCTCTCTTATGAACAAGAGGCCTAATGGGCTGTATATTTCACCCGTTATTATGGTTTGAATTTGAAAGTTGGTCAAGGTCATGATATAATGGCCCTAGGCCTTGATCTCTCTCATTTTTTTTTATTTTTTTTTCCAAAGCACATTCAGACATCTGTGGTCTTGACAGTTTAGTCTACATAACAGACCTTAACCCAATGAAGTTAATTCTGGTTCTAGGTATTTGCAATTTTATCTGTAACACTTGTACTGAAAATAAAGTTTTGCTGTCGATGCGCTGTCTTCTTTAAACATCAATTCTATCTCATCTGGTACAGAATGGAACCATAAGGTGAAGAGTCATAAGGCATATGACTTACCGGTATGACAGAGAATGTAAACCCTTGTGTATATATATTTTTTTCTCAATTTTTATCTCTCTTTATGTCCTGTTTGCATTTAGCTTGTTGATAATCACTTATACCTGTAAAATTTTCAATGAAAAACACTTTGTGTGACATGTTTTATATATTTTGTGATAAATAATATAATTGTTTGGTTAAATAGCAATGTTTATTTTCATTCCATTTTTTTATTGACTTACTTTTTAACAATATGCCACACAGTGACTTTAAAATGGAAAACATTTGAATTGTTGAAAACTCAATTTTGTGCATTTCGGAATACTTAAAATTTATCTAAAATCACCTCTATATACATAGCTGCAAAACCATTCTGTAAAAGTTT